ACTTCTGAGTACTCTATGCCTAGAAAAACTTGAAAAGAGTTGCCATAAATCAAAATCTGTTCTCGATCATAGAGTGCAGGACACGCAACAATGGGCTCATGTTAAAGGAAGCCAGATTTCAGTTGAATATCAGGAAAAACTTCCTAACTGTTAGAGCAGTACGACAATGGAACCAATTACCTCAGGAGGTGGTGAGTGCTCCAACACAGGAGGCTTTCAAGAAAAATTTAGATAACCACCTGGCAGATATGCTTTGATGGTATTCCTGCATTGAGCAGGGGGTTGGGCTTGATGGCCTTGTAGGCCTCTCCCAAGTTCACTTTTCTATGATTCTATGAAAATTGACTTGATGACACAATATAATTAACTTACTTACAATCGCTGAATAGTAATGAATATAATGAAATCAGACTCTTACACTGTAACTGAAAATACACTTTGATCAGACTCAGTAAGACTTATTTCAGAGTCAACACACTTGATGCTGTGCTATAGAAGCTTAAAAGGAAGGCTTATTAATGCCAGTTTAGCTTCAATACCTTATATATCTGAAGAACCATAAGGAAAAAAAATTATAGTATAAAGGTCCCCTGTACTTACCATCCTGTACAATTTGTCTTCTAGGTCTTGATTAATTCTTTGTAAGGCTAGGTAATTGTTTTGTATCCTAAAACAAAGATGAAATCATGTAATCAACATATCTTTGCACATTCATTACTGTACTTTTAAAAACATAGGTGTTTTTTTTTTACTTTTTGAGATCTATTTTCAAAAATGATTGTAATCGAGTTTCCCATTGATTTTAGTCCTCATTTGAGCATTATTTCATGGTTCAGGTATCTGGCTTTGGAGCCAGAGGTTGGTAGTTCGATTCCCCAGCGTGCCCCTTGTGAGTAGAGTCAGCCAATGTGGCTTTGAGCAAGCTGCACGGTCCCCAGATGCCCCCCCCAAAAAGGGAATGGTAAACTTCTTCTGAGTACTCATTACCTGGAAAACCCTGAAGAGAGTTGTCGTAAGTCGGAATTGACTTGACAGCATATAAGGATGGTGATGGTGATGATTCTGTTACTTAGCAAAGGCTTTTTGATCAACATAAAGCCAAGATTTGCAAATGCCTAAAACATCCCTTGTACCCTTTAGGAGAACCACTTTGTGACAAAGCCTTTCCAACTGTCAGAATCCTGATGACCAGCTGCGTTGGCTAGAGTTTCTGGAAATTGTAGTTCAAGAAAATAAAGGGCCTTGATCTGAGAATTCTTTTTCCCTCGTCTTAAGCAAACAGCAAATGTATTATGCAAGAGCTTAGAAAACAGGCCTATTTTAGAGCTACACAATCTCAGGGTGTGATCAGGGGGGAGAAACAGCTTGCATTTTGCACTGTTTTTGTCACAGTCTGGTGAGAGCGATTTCCTGGCAACCACATGGCATATGGTCAATAGTGCTCCAGTCCTACTGCGATCCATGCCCATGCTGGACCTTTTTGCTCCACCGGCAGGGCTACCCTTTTTAAGGGACAGGTTGGAGCAACTGTCAGCTAGACAGAAGGGTTGCTTTAAAGGAGATCGGTCCTGGCAAAATGACCCTGTCTGGTGTGATCAGATGGGATCCCTTTTCCACCTGTTTTTTCCCCGAGTTGCATCCTTGTAAAAATATAAAAGTTGCTTAGCAAAATGCATAGAGTACTATCTCCAGGAAAACCAATGGTTTGAATCTGCACTTAGCCACACAGCTCACTGCATGCCATTGGTCAGTTAGCATTTCTCAGATTAGTTTACCATAGAGGCTGGTTGTGAGAATAATATGGGTGAGAAATAACCATGTTCACATCATGAACTTGCTGGAACAAAAACAAGAAACATGGAATCAATAACCAAGTACCTATGAGAGAACTCTGACTGGTTGTGGAACGAGTGCCTATTTGGTTACAACCCAGGATTGTTTTGCTATGAAGCTTCTATGAATTTAATTTAATTTAATTTGTTTGTTTGTTTGTTTTCCTCACCCATTTAGTGGCAAAGCTGCTACTCTGGGTGGCTTACAATCAGAACATCAACAGAAACTGACCCATGAGAGATCCTTGCAAAAGTCAAAAGGCAACAACATGGCACAAGAGGAAAGGGGCGAAAACTTTTATGAGTAGTGTAAAAATCAGAGGATATGTAAAAAAGAAAGACAAAAATAAAAGGAAAAGACTGAAAAGAAAAAAAGGAAAAAATGTGAGGTGAAAAGATCTGGGGGGACATTTTGAGAATCTCAGATACCAGCTTCTACTGTCTAATAACTATTCTGCACAGCCCAAACTAAAGCAAATTATATACTTTGCTGGTTTTAAAATATTTGAACTCAGACATTAATAAGATGCAATTTCAGTGGATGACCAACAGAAGAAACCATATTCCAAATGACTCTACACTAATTAATTTGGATGAAATGTAGCATTGCATGGATGTCACAATGAGGCATCAGGCTGAGTTCCTTCCTTCCTAAACTGAAAAGATATACAATGGATAAATCTGCGAACCGGTTCCTGTTCTTCATTGCTGAAAGCTCTCATTTCTAGTAACATGGCAAAAAATATCAGAGCATTACAACATGTGTCCTCTCCTTCTCTACATAGCTTGCCAGAACTAAAGTAAAACTGTACCACTGTTTTATAATGCAGAGAGAGTATGTGTAATAGGAAACACAGAAGCCACAGAAGGATGAACTTGAGCCTGTACACAACAGGGCAAAAGCTTGTGGGCTTCCTATGGGCAAGGGTAGAGGAACCAAGAATTGGTTTACACTTGGACTCCAAATTCGCTTAGACTCAGCCAGTTTGGCTTAAGGCAGGGAATAATGGAATCTGATTGACTTCCAGAGGACCTCAGGTTTGCCATTTTTCCTTCCAACCTCTGCTAACAAACCATTCTAGAAATCGTATCTAGAGTTATATATGTAGATGACGTGTGTCACAATGAGGCATCAGGCTGAGTTCCTTGCTTCCTAAACTGAAAAGATACACAATGGATAAATCTGCGAACCGGTTCCCATTCTTCTCCCATATATAGAGTTACATATGTAGATGACTTGCTACACGGAAGATGATTTCCTTCTCATCTTGGTGAATATACTTATTCACTGATTAATGATAGAAATATGGTTAAATCTGTCATGAAGCTTACTGATTCAAATAAACCAATAAACTTGCGCTTTGTTGTTTAGTTGTTAAGTTGTGTCTGACTCTTCGTGACCCCATGGACCAGAGCACGCCAGGCCCTCCTGTCTTCCACTGCCTCCCAGAGCTGGGTCAAACTCATGTTGGTCACTTCAATGACACTGTCCAACCATCTCATCCTCTGTTGTCCCCTTCTCCTCTTGCCTTCACACTTTCCTAACATCAAGGTCTTTTCCAAGGAGTCTTCTCTTCTCATGAGATGGCCAAAGTATTGGAGCCTCAGCTTCAGGATCTGTCCTTTCAGTGAGCACTCAGGGTTGATGTCCTTCAGAATGGATTGGTTTGTTCTCCTTGCAGTCCAGGGGACTCTCAAGAGCTTCCTCCAGCACCACAATTCAAAAGCATCAGGTCTTCGGCGGTCAGCTTTCTTTATGGTCCAGCTCTCACTTCTATACATCAATACTGGAAAAACCATAGCTTTGACTATGCAGACTTTTGTCGGCAAGGTGATGTCTCTGTTTTTAAGATGCTGTCTAGGTTTGTCATCGCTTTCATCGCTTTGCAATAATACCCAGCAAAGTCTCACCGAATTTAATAAGACTTATTTCTCAGTTAACTTTCATGTAAAATTCCACTGACAATTGTAGAAATGACTTGGGGCTCATCTGGAGCATTTGTTCTCTGAAACAAACCTGGCTGAAGTTCTGTCTCGATGAGGCTAGACTTGTTTCGTATTTTAAAAAGACGGTGAGGGACTACAGGGATCAGTATAACTCCCCTGGTACAGCGACCCCACTGGCTGCTGATCTGTTTCCAGGCACAATTTTAAGGGTTGGCTTTAATCTATAAACCCTAAATGGCTTGGCTCCAAGCTATCTCAATGAACCTGCCCATATGTTAAGATCATCAGGGGAGGTCTTCATCTCAGTCCCACCATCCTCACAGATGCACTTGATGAGGACATGAAAGAGGGTCTTCTCTGCCTCCACTCCCAGGCTGGCCTCATTTTTGCTGTTCTTCCACAAGCAGATGAAAGTCTTTCTCTTCAGGCAGGCTTTTTCTTAATGACTGGCTATCTAAGAGAGGTTTTAAAACAAGATGCTTTGCATGTTGTTGCTTCTAAATCTGTTTTAGTAATGCTTTCCCTAACATTTTTAATTAGAGATGGGCATGAACCATCCAAACATTTTTTTAAAAAAATGAACCATCAACTGTTATTTTTTTTTAGTTTGCATTTGGGGGGAAGGGAAACTAAACTCCTCACCTCCACAGCCTGCCTCCTTCCGATTGCCCCCGTCACCTCACTACCTGGTCCTGTCACCTCCTCCTTTTCCTCCTCCTCCACCTCTGCCATTTTGCCATCTTGAGAAGCCTGGCCACTGTCTTACAAGATGGCGATGGAGAACAAAGAGGAGGTGGTAACAGGATCAAGTAGGGAGGCAATGGGGGCCAGTGAGAATGGGTGGGGGGGCAGGCTGTGGGGGTGAAGAGTGTCATTTCCCCTCCCCGCCAGCATGAACTTCTTTTTTTTTAATGAACTGGTTAATGGTGTGTTTTTTTTTACAAACTTTTGGATGGTTTCTGTTTCATGGGTACCCCATATTTCAGGGGACAGGCTGTGGGCAGGGGGAAATGAACCATAAAATTTGTGAAATCACACAAAAGTTTATGGTTTGGGTCAGTTCGGGTTCGTCAGTTTTGTCGAATCTGAACCAACCCAAACCAACAAACCAGTCATGTTCAATGAACTTCCTGGTTTGTTTTTCAATTCATGCCCATCTCTATTCTTGATATGTTGTTAGTTCATTTAATATTTGAATAATTCACAGTTTTTTTTAGCTTTAATATTGTGTATTAATGATGTAAGCCAACTTGAGTCCTCAGGTATGTGTGTATGGATGTATGGATGTATGGAGGGAAAACAAACAAACAAACAAACAAATAGTGTGCTTGGAGTGTATCTTGAAACCTGGAAGACATTTTAAAAGGCAGTAAAATGTGGTGCATCAAAGTGGCCCGATCTGGAACAGCACTCAGTCACAATGCATTTTTAAAATCAGTCTGTTTATCTGCACGAAGGACATGTCAAATGTCCCTCCTTCCCCCCCCCCCCCATATGTGATGTAAGATAAGGTTAAACTTCCTTTTTTAAATGATGGCAATCATTCGACTTGGAGGTCAAAAAATTCTGAAACTAACCTTCTCAGCTTTTCTGTTACTTTTTCAAGTTCTTCCTGAGCACGTCTCAATTCAACTTCAAGATACTGGCGTGTAGAATCGAATTCTGTTTCAAGCATTTCCAGTTTGTGGGTTGTGTAGGAAAGACGTTTGCGAAGTTCCCCCTTCTGTTCTTGCAGCGTGCTGGGAAGGATAAAGATTGCAACTGATTAACCATTCTACAAAGGTCTCAGGGACAGAAGTGTACATAAATTACACAAGTACTGTATACAGTAATATAATAATAGTACTTAATTATGGGTACTTAGGATTGATGTCCTTCAAATTACAGCTGCCCTCCTGCAGAACCAGAGCACACGTTGTTTGAAAGACCTCTAGAAAGTGAAAGGAACTGCCAGCATAAACCACAGTTTTTAGAAGAAAGTTGTTTTGCTTTGGAGCTGTTTTATTCCAAATCAGTATCTTGCACAGTACTGCCTGCTCTGAGTTACAGTAGCTTTCTCCACTGTGTCTGATGTTCTTTATTTATGATTTGCGTCTTTCAAATCCTTTCACAGGAAACAAGGCATTTTGTTTTCTACGGTGAAAAACAAAATGGTACCCCCCCATCTGTAGAAGCTGAAGAGACTCTGCAGACTCCCGGATGATGAGACAGGTCCACCTACCACTCTTGAAAGGGTCAGACTAGCTTAGGGTCAGCAGGATTGGTTTCTTAGGATAGTGATTCCCAACCAGTAGTACAACTACCACATAATGGGCTCTTGTTTTGTATTGTTTTCTTAACAATGATTAAGAATTCACTCTCTTACTCCCTCTCTCCTCTAAGAGTGATGTGTCCTTTCTCATCAACCTTATCAACGGAAGGTTATCCATCTGTGATTTTGGGATGCTAGTAGTAACTCTAGACCCCTGTTGTTTGCTATAGTCCAAGGAGGGTAATCTCCAGAGATTTATAGGCCACACAAGGCCATCCCTAAACCATTGTATCTCACCCAAAATAGATTTCTTTTACAAAGGATGCTTTCTGTTTGCAAATTACAATCCTGCATGCTCCTCCATTAACACCGGGTGTCTTTGGGGAACATGCTTGGTACTTGCCACTAAACTTAGAGCTTTTCTCCCATGCCTCATTATTCCTACAAGTTGCTTCCTGAGTTAGCCACCTTTCCAGGTACAGCTCTCCAAAGACAGACATGAGGAGATAGAGCTCCATACCATGTATCTCAAAGGATAAATCCATGAACTTTAAACAGAGGTTTTGTTTCATTTAAACAAGAAGGATCCCAACTGATCATATTTCCCTTCCTAAGGGGTCAGACTGGGTAAATCTCTCCATACTTCTCTCAATACTGAAAATGGAATAACCACCTTCAAAATCCCTTCAACATATTAATGGCCCAGATGAGGGTACTTTTTTCCCCAAGAGAGAGATTAGAAATGATCATATTTTTTCTAATTATATCTGCAGTTTCTTTTCTCCCATTTTTTCCCTGAGATCTGTAACAACAACAAAGCAAGACTGGCTAGGGTCTTTACTGGGAAATTTACAAGGGTAAAGAATGCTATTTTTTCCCAGTGGAAATGCAGAGTGAGGGTTATTCTAGAACACTTGGATGCATTCTTCTATGTTGGACAACAAAAGTCAGAAGGAGAGATAGGGATTAGACAAGTACAGTGGTGTGGGTTGTTTTTTTTTTAGCCAAGGCAATAATATTATAGTTTGACTGATGACCAAATAATCTGTGTTAAAGATAGCTGGACTACAAAAGAGATGCTGGATGCCTTAGGAAGATGCCGTGGATTTGTCAGTTTTAAATCACGAGGGAACTTGTACAGTTAAGACTTGATTTAAAGAAAGATTGTGAGAAACAGGTCACTGTTTTGATTACTGTATCTGATCTGAGCAGTTTTGACCAGGATAATTAGAAAAAACTGGGATTCCTTATGTGAGCACTAGGAAATAAATCTGATACTTTTATTTCTGTCTTGGATGGGTAAAAGGAGTTGAGTTTCAACAATGTTTTAAGTGCCTTGAGGGAAGAATGTAGTGAACAAAGAAATTTATTTTTCAAAGCTCCAGATAAATTACTGGCTCTCATTACTGAATTAAAGGAAGGAACTGCGAAACAGAAAGCCATTCTATAGAGACAATCACTTTGTTTCTACAAATTAATGGGAAGGCCCATCAAGGCAGATTTTGTCCCCTCCCCAGAGACTGATTAACCAATAGCATCTGTACTAGTTTTGAACCTAAAGTCCAAAAGGAGCACTTAATGGCAGATTCTAAGTACAAGCCATCATGAGTAAAAAGCCAGTCTATTCTAAAACATAACGCTCTCATGGCTAATGGTCACAATGAGAAGTCAGAAGACTGAATTGTCACAGGACACACTAGAATTCTTTAGTAAAATGGAGACAGAAATGCTGGTGGAAAAACACAGATAGCTCATGATGATTCCATGGATATACAAGAAATAGAAAGGGGCATTTTAAAATCTGAATTGCCCCATGTAATTAGTAAATGACTTGCTATATGTACTAGATATGAAGTGCAATATAATGGGTGCCTCAGCTTTTGGCGACAAAAGGTTTTGCAATGTGCTTTCAGAATTGAAAGTGTTTGATAAACAAAGGCAATGAATCATATTTCCATGCAGATGAAATGTGATGATGTTCAGAAACGTGGTCTTTCTGTTCATCAAACAAATACAGTGCAAACAAAGAAAGAGGAAAACAATAGCTTTGAAACATGGTTTCAGATATTGTGATATTAAACATGAGAACCTTGTTACAGGTAGCAAGGTAAACCCATGTGATGCTGAAAAAACAAAAACAAAACAAAACCCAACAGGCTCAACAGCTGGATCAAAGAGAACAGTGTTAGATCTTCATTACCCCTAAGAATGCAGAGGAAAAATACCAGGGTGCTAGATACATAATGATCTATGTGGAGTACTTAATTGGCCTTCAGTAGGGCCCCTTGCAGTCCAGGGGACTCTTGAGAGTCCCCTGGACTGCAAGGAGAACAAACCTATCAATTCTAAAGGAAATCAAGCCTGAGTGCTCACTGGAAGGACAGATCCTGAAACTGAGGCTCCAATACTTTGGCCATCTCATGAGAAGAGAAGACTCCCTGGAAAAGACTCTGATGTTGGGAAAGTGTGAAGGCAAGAGGAGAAGGGGACGACAGAGGATGAGATGGTTGGACGGTGTCATCAAAGCTACCAACATGAATTTGACCCAGCTCCGGGAGGCAGTGGAAGACAGGAGGGCCTGGCATGCTCTGGTCCATGGGGTCATGAAGAGTCAGGCATGACTAAACGACTAAACAACAACAAGGGAAAAAATGGCTGCATTCTAATATTCGTGGATGATTTCTCAAAGTACTGTGTTACCTATTTAGTGAAAGAGAAGACCGAGATGAACATCCCCAAGAAGTACATGGCCATGGTGGCCAACAAGTCTGAAAGAAAACACAAAGCCCTTCAAAGTGACAATCTTGATGACTACCTCTCATACCCCACACAAACCTTCTTGGAAGGAAAGGGCATTTTTTTCACAGGAGAAGTGTGGCACCTATTACTGGGTATAATGCAATGGCTGAAATAACATGAAGATCTCCTTTGGAGATGGCAAGCTGCATGCCTGCAGATGAAGAATGCTCAGCAGATAATGAGGTGATGCACTCATGCCTGCAACGTATCTCCAGAACAGATTTTCAGCCAAGGGCACCTGAAAGACCCCATTTCAGCGATGGCTTGGCAGAATGCCAAATATGGAACATGTTAGGTTCTCTGGAACCATAGCCTATGTTTGCATAATCAAAGCAGAAAAAGAGATATAAAAGTAATGAACTTGAGAAGAGGTAAAGGCAGTGTGAGACGTGTTGTTCACTTTGATGAACAAAGCAAAGCTAACAAAGAGGGACTGTGTTAGATAGCTCTGAGGAGGAAGGCCACTATGTTGAGTTCCTCCATGGCGTAGCACAACCAAGGTCTTTACAAACTGACTCAGAGAGGAGCAAGAAGGAGAGGATACAGAGGGACAGAGCAGCACACTAAGAGATGGGGGATACACATGTTGTGGATTTTTGGACGGGTGAGGCACCGATATTGCACCAGATTGTAGAACCAGCCCTCTTGACACTCACTGCTAAAATATTCAGTCTATGTTAATAAAAGAACCAGCCCATGATTTTTGTTTGTTTCTTTTAACCAAGCAACAGCCAAACTGGATCCACAGGAAGGGATCAACACAGGCCAGAATTGACTTGAGAGCACATTATTATTAGCATTTTAAAAGAGAGTAACTAAATTCTACATTCCACCCCCCCCCCCCCAATTTTCTCCTTGAAAAATCGCCCTCATACACTCTAGTCATAAACTACAAAAAACACCAATATTTTTCAGAGGGTGGCAAAGGCACTGGGAAACCCAAAACATAAGAAAATTGTTTACCATCTCATAAAGGCCATTATACTTCTTTCTGAACCATCTGTCTAAAAGACAGTTGTTCGGAATACAGATATTGAAGGGGTTACATTTAGGTCCCTGGAAGACTGAACAGTGGACTGTTGGTACACTTTTCCCACCTGGTAACACAGAACACAGAAAGCCTGTAAATAGGTAAATGTCCTTCTGAGAAGAAGTGAGCTTTTTCTTTCTGTTATGATGGGATCCATGATTTTCCAGTCCTCCAGAACAGCGGTCCCCAACCTTTTTGGGACCGGCTAAGCCTCTGAGGAAGGCGCCCCCCACAGGTGTGTGTGGGTGCATGAGCCCTCTTGGGTGCATGCGTGAAGCGGTGGGGAGCGCCCATCTGCCCGCCCGCGCTGGTGTGAGCACTCCCCTACATCTTCACGCATGCGCTGGGGTGCCTGCATACCCACCCACCACTCCGTGCATGCACGCACATGCATAAAGCAGCTGTGGGGAGGGGAGTGCATGCGGGGGGGGGGGGGGCTGTCTTCGTGGCCCAGTCCAGCTCAGGCCACAGACTGGCATGAGCCGCGGACCGGGGGTTGACAACCTCTGCTCTAGAATGCACTTTAGAGATGAGGATTTGAAAATTTCAACCCCTCCTTTCCATCAGTGGAGCAGGCTTTCAATGAAAGGAACTCACATGGTCTGTACATTTTATTTTTAATTTTTTATTAATATATCAAACAAAAAAAGGACAATAAA